ACGGCCAGATTCAGCAATGTGCCTTTTTCCCCCCCCATCTTTTTGCTTTTCCCCCCCTCCCTTCTTTTTCACACATGCTGTCTGTCCAATTCAATCCATTCCTTGTCACCTTCTACAATTAACTTTCCAATGTATCTTTCCTTTTTTAATTTTTTCCTCCAAAAAAGACCCTTTTTGGCATCAAGGGGAAGAAGTTAGTGAAGGAAGTACTTACAGGTCCTAAGGGGCTTTGGCGAAAGCGTGGCAGGACCATGCTGCATAACTCCGAGTTTTAGGATAGGAAAGCTCTAAGAGTCAAGCTCAGCGAGCCAAGAGGGCGGCTGAGCTGCCGTGGAAGAGGGGAGTTTGATGACCATAACATTTCCAAGCCCCATCCAGGCATTACAGAGGCTACAGTGGGTTAAAAGTAGGGCTGGAAAAGCACCTTTGCAGAACAGCTGAAGCCACCAGACAAGCTCAGGGCTAGCAGAGAAACTCAGACGATGCAAGTCCGGGAGCTCTGGCCTCACAATGCGAGCAGCCTCCTTCCAAGGCCAGCCCAGAAGCGCCTCGGTCTCCGGGCACAGCGGCCAGGAAGGGGCTGTGAACACATGCCGAGAGCTTCCAAGGTGGACCACCATCCCCAGGACTCAACCTCAAAGCCCAACTTTCCAGGCAGACAGCCCCATCCCTCCTTTGCTACCAAAACCAGCTACCAAAACCAGCTGTTGGAGCATCTTCACGACTGATCACGCACACGTGTTTTTGCAACAGTGGCAGGAAACGTCCATGGGCACACCAGCAAAATCCACCAGGCAGCCGGCCAAAGACAACAAACACGTTGGAGCAAAATGAAAAGCTTTCCTACCTCTCCTCCCAAACGAAGGCTCCAAAGTCAACCATAACTGGCTTTGTGGCCATACTGAGAAGACCGGACACTCAAGGGAACAAGGGACAGGTTGTCGCTGCACAGCTGGACACCTGGAATATGTTGTCAGCCAAGGCACAGAAAGAAAAAAAAAGAAGGTAGGATAGAGGGGCAGGATATCTCTGAAGTTTTGAGCTGAACAAGCAGCACCACGAGGTTCAGGGCTGAAAAGCAGCAGCAGGACTGGCAAACACTAGCCCGGCATCTTCGACACCCGTGCCCTAACCCTTTCTGAAAGAGGGGAGCCCAAACTGGCCCAGCGGTAGCACTTTCGAACCCTCCTGCACACGTGCGTAATCTCTAAGCAACACAGACATGGAGGAAACTGCTCGTTTGAGAGGACCAGGGTGGTGTTTCCCTTGATACTTCTACTTATCAGCTGAGCAGAGATTTTCCAGGGTGTCGTCCTGCACCGGAACTTTTAAAGGAAATTTCTCTTGTCATAACAATTTAACTTTTCAAAGCAAGCCTAGACACTAACCCTTGAAGGGCACATCCACAGGGTATTTCGTGGGAAGGAACGGATCCTTTTTTTTTTGCCTCAGCATAAATTGAAGTGGAAGTTGGCTGAACACGATTTCCAGAGCAAAAGCCTAAAGTGAGCTCAATACCTGCACGTAGGGCAAGCTCACTTTTGCCTGCAAAATACCACATAACCTCAGAGGAAAAAAAAACCTCATGTCAAGGATCTTTTCAAAGTAGCCTGCTTTGGATATCTATACTTGGAGTTTCATTGAACAGGAAAAGAGTTTGATTTCATACTCCCCCCAAATTCAAGCGAGCAAAGAGACTTCGCTCAAACAAACAAACTAAAGCATCATCAGAAAAAGAGCAGAGAGCAACTGCCGAAAGCTCACACAAATCATCTGCTCAAGGGACGCTGCAGTCAAGAGGAAAAAGCAAAAGGTAGCAGGCCAAAATTAAGAGCTTGAGAGAGATAATCCGATAATTGGGTCTTACTATACAGTAATGCATCGAGTCCTGGGTAAATCATTTCAAAAGATTTTGTTTTAAATAAATGTTCCACCAAAAAAAAAAAAAAAAGAGACATGGAAAGTTTTCTTTATAAGAGAAGAACACGAATATTTTGTCTAGAACAATTATGGGATAGATTCCCTCCCAGAGGGGCCCCTGATGTCTAGCAAGGAAATGGGAGATAGGAATACAAAAAGGTACCCTGGCTAAGGATGACCAATATTTCATAGTTAAGATCCTGGTGAGAACTGAATGCAATAAAGGGTTATCCATGGGAGAACGATGACAAGAAGTAACTACCTGCAAAATATCGAATTGCTAAAGATGAGATTAGTCTGCAGAAGGTCGCCAGACGCGCGCAGGAGAAGGGACACGTTCTCAGCTGTGCGAGCAAGACACAAGCCACTACCTCGTTTCCTCCAAGCGCCCATTATTCTCCTCTGTGGAGATTTCACGCTTGTTTTCAGCCTCTCTGACCTCTCAGATGGACCGCCGGCCTACCCTGGTAGGCTCACACAAAGACCAACCAGCTGTAGTTACAGGGCAACAAATTAAATTTAGGCAGAAGCATCCTTCAGCCTGGGCCAGAGGCCTCCCTGCGTACCTGCTGCGGAGGGACTGGGGGAATGGCAGTCTGCTCCAGTTTCAACGGGGCCTTAACACATCAGCAGTGAATAATTTACAACCCACCTGTCTGCTGCCCAGAGGCGGCTCTCTTTGGAAGAGAGGGTTTTATTCGCAGCCCACATGCGAGGACAGAACAGCTCAGCTGTGCCTCGTGGCCCTTCTGCTTCACGCTTTCCAACTTCTCCTAATTCAGAAAGCAATAATTGCATCAGCTTTCCAAAATTACTCAGAGTTGGCCAGGACTGCTCCCATGCACATCAAGAGATGCTGCGAGCAGGGCTGCTGCCAGCGCGGAGAAGGGTTTTCAAGCCCCAAGGACTTGGCTTGGACTCGCACCAGAGAGCTATCCTGCAAGACCGCAACGCTTCGCAATTGCACGCCTCCGGCTTAACCTGTGCCAAGCTCCATCAGACGCTTGTCATCTGTTCTACTGGCCAAGGTGAGGCAGCACGATACAGAGCGAGCCACCGGCTGTGTCCGAGGGCGATATGATGAAGGAGCAGCCACCGCACAGCGGGGAAACAGCCCGGCTGCCATTTCACAGCCAACCTAAGAGGACTGCAAAACCCAGATTTCAACCCCAACTCCAGCACTCATCGGGCACATAACTAGTGACAGGATTTCCCACAGCCACCCTCCCAGGAGCAGCTTAGATACCACCAACGAACATACCCCGTCAGCAAGTGTTGTGAATATGGAGGCACCACAGCCCAGCTCTTCGTTGCTATAACCCTGAGCTGAACAGCGGGGTAAGGAGGGGAAGGGACGTCATTTTGGGAAAAGGGAGCAAGAGTAAGCAGAACGTTACTATTCCAGCAGCCCAAAGAGAGGGTAGTTCCTGGTGGGCAAGAAGCAACCATGCACCGGGCCATGCAACACAGCCAGGCAAGAACACGACGGCCACAAGTTCTGCCAAAAGCA